GAGAATCCGTCAGAATACTTCTGTTTCGAACGAAGATTGTTCCCGGCGTTACGAGCAAAACGTTCTCGGGACGAGGCATTAGTGGCGCGAGAATTCGCATGGTGATGGATCCGTAACAATTAGCGGGTCTATCGGAGGGAGAAGAAGGAAGGAGGTTCAGGTCTCCGGTTTCGTCCTCGTCTAAGCCGTGTTCATTACTGTACCGACAATCAGGCTGTTCCAGGATCAAGAGGGCGGGAAAAGGGCGACGGACGGAGTTAGGGGTGGTTTAAGCGAGTATAGCCGCGGCGGTCAGGCTTGTAATCTGACGGTGGTGGGTCGTTGGGTTGGTCGGGGTAAAACGGTCCATTAAGAGCGGGTAGCAGTTAGTGGTCATGCTATAGGAAGCAGCCAGCTTACTAATGCCAGCCCAACCCCGTAAGGGCCGAGGCCAGCCCTTCGGCCGGCTTCACCTTCGCGAAACTTGGATTTTCGTTCTGTTTTCCCTCGTTTTCCGCAAACAGACCGATGCATCATGCCGCCCTATCCGTGATCAATTGTAACTTATCCTACGTGTCCAGGGGATATATTTGTCTTCCATAGACTGGAACGGTCCGAGAGTTCCGAGTGTTATCTTTAACCATAGGATAGGAGGGTGGAATATCCCACGGAGGATCGCCGTGGGGATATAATTTATTCTAATTGAAAAAATCTATTAGGTAGACTTGCATTAACCAATCGGTATCCTTTTGTTAACGCTTTTTGGTAAATTTAACAAATATTCTTCGTGCATCGGCACTGACGAATGATGGTTCGATTTATTTTTTTATATAAATGAAATTATCGTTTCTCTGGTATTAAATATCAGGTTAGGATAATTTCTAAATTTCTCAATCGCACTTTAACGCGATTAATGTTTCTTCTCTACGCATCGACTCGTTTAAAGTTTCCTTAAAATCATATTAATATAATCTTAAGAATCGTTTCAAAATTATCTTCGAATAAAACGTTTCAACCAAGGAGGGATAAAAAGACGATTACGTTAAATTTCAACAGAGGGAATGAACACGAAAAATAATTTTCTCATAGCGAAATCATTTTGATTTCTCTTTACCCAACTCGTTGGATTTCGCGTAACGGTGGTATTAAGCCGGGTATATTGTTCTCACTACGCTGTATCTAGACGGTAGGATATCGTCTACGAATTTCTTAACGACGAATCAACGGTATTACGGCGCTTTCTCATACACGTACACCGCGGGGGGAAATTTTACCCCGGGTGTAATTTGAACCGCGAGCTGGACATCGACTCGGCGATGTTATCGCGTATGTTGGAGCAAATTACCGTACAGATACTGACGAAGTAGTTGCAGTCCCACGTACGGATATTCGAGCCGTGGAAGGATAGGAAAGTACAAGTTGGGAAGGAAGAACCCCCCTTAAACACGCGCGTTGATCTCGATGGGGGTGGTTTTGCCTTCACGAACCCAAAGTTTGATTACTGTTTTCACCGCGCGTAGGGGTGAGGGGGAAGGAGGAGGAGGAGAGAAATGCAACACGAATATCCCGAACTCGATGCGTCGTTACTTCGTTGACATTAGAATTTGCGCAGGTTCTTGCTCAACTTTACTCGAGAGTTTCGTTTTCGACGCGGAATAATTCGCGGTATGTAAGGCTCCGTTTTATTACCCGCTCGTTGGATTTCTCTTCCCCCGTAATATTCCTTTACGTACACTCGAAAGGAATTCCCCTGCCAAGAAATCACTTTGGATCGTTTCTTTTATCCTTTTTTTTTTGAAACGGAGCGAGAGATAATTGAACCTTGTCGGATACATGCGATCTTCCCATCGAATTCTCCGCGAAAAAAAGGCGAGAATCCTCGCGTTGTAACGGTGACTGGATGATCGTTGAAAAAAGTTTCGGTGGCAGTAAACTTCAACGTAAAAATTCTCGATCTATGGGGGGACGTTTTGTTCTTAATGGACAGAGCTTGTGCGCGAGTATGCGCGTCTCCCTGCTTCACGATGTGATAATCGACGTCGTTACGCGGATGATGACTTTTTCATAGCGGTGTTGAAAAGGTGTATCTTACCCTTGTCTTACCTCGATCCTTTTCGACCCCTTCGAGTGGAAGTAGAGAAGAAAGTGGAGAAGCGGTGATCATTAAATTGTCGCGGAAATTTAATAACGTGGCAACGTTAATAACCTCGGACTTAGAACTTAGGTTCTCTTTAAACTCTCGTTAGACGGTCGTTCGTAACAATCTTTATAGGTTATTTCGGAGAGGGGGATGATGATAATGTCGATATAACGTGACGATACGGCCCGCCTCGTTTCGTGTCCGAGCATCGCGAGCATCGAATTAATCACATTGTTCCGTCATAAGCTCCCCCTCCCGCGTTTCGTGATCATATCGTTTACGCTCCTCGCACTCGTTTAATCCACCCTCTCGAAATTTATTTCCTCTCGATCTGGCCGCATAGTTTCATATTCAAACCCCGCTGCGCGTTAATTAAATCGCGACGCTCTTACGTCCGTCTGGAGGAGAACTTTCCTCGGAAAGGGATGGAAAAGGATATTTCTCGAAGAGGGAAACTTTGATTCGACTGCACGCGATCGTCTTTGCACGAGACCGCGCCATCGAACGGATTCAACGGAATTAGAATTCCTGTTTCTTGTTGCGGAGATCGACTCGAATTACCGTGTAATTATCCGATTCTCGTTCAAGTAATCTATTCGCGAAAAGAAATTGTTGAACTCGAATTTCCTTCCATCCTCTCGATCTTCCTTCGGGTTTCACTCCGGAGAGAATCGAGTTGGGGTAAGGTATCGCTTGAATTCGGCGCACTTTCGAAATACGATTTCGTCGGTGGAAAGAGCGAAGTTGTCGAAAGTATTCCTTCCCGATTTTTCCGCTCCCGTTCTCGGATCTCGCGTTCCGTTCCCGGAAGTTTTGCGCGATTGTGTCGCCGGGGGAATAATACGCGAGCGTTTCCCGGAGTTTCGCACGGAGGGAACAATGGACAAGATTAATGGGAAATGGCGCGAACATGGGACCAGGATTCTGGCATAACGAGAGGTCTTGCATAATCTGTCTTGCGGTGTTTCTGGAAAGCAGAATCGGCGGCGCCGCGGATTATTGAAACGTTTGGAGAGAATTCGATTTGCGAATCGCGCACGATATCTTGAAGATCGCATCTGGAAAATTCGTTCCCAGCCAACCGTGTTTCATTTACGATATATTTTCTCGTTCGAGAAATTTTTCCTCTCTGCGTAGAGATTCTGATCGATCTTCGTGGAATCACCAGGATGATGACTCGATTACGAGATTTTTGATTTAATCCGGAAATAAAAAGGGGAATTTAATTAAACGCGCTCTTATTATCACTTTTTTTCTTGTACGAAGAATTTTAGAACGAGCTCGGTACGTCGTAAGACACCGTGTATTATTTCACTGTCGTTCATTGTTCGAAGGAGAAAGATGATCTTCGAGAAGAAGTTTTATTTTCATCGATTGCTTCTTCGATTTCGATATTAATTCATCGCCCGTTGAGAATCGACGAGTATTTCTCCCATTTGTTATATATTTCGCGCGAAATTGTTCGATTTCTTGTTGCGCGTCTCGTTTCTCGGGAAAGAGAGCGAGAGAGAGAGAAAAAGTTCGGATTTCCCATTTACTTTTCCTTGGATCGCGAGAAACACGGAAATCGTATGAAATTGACGTTCATTTTATCCGCACGGTTGAAAGCCATTTGTCGATATCGATGGCGGTGCTAGTGGTCCGTTCTAAATTCAATCCAGCCCGCAAATCGAGAATTCTAATAGGCGGCTATAATTTTGCGGCAGATCGTCGATGCTTTTCCCATCCTTCTTCATCGGTCTCGCCATTTGAAAATTAAATCGATAAATTGATTCGAGGGAATGTAACGGAGGAGAATAAATAAAGGAGGAGAAGAGAGAGAGAGAGAGAGAGAGAAGAAAGACGGAAAGAATGGGATGATAGAAAGTTTTCATGGGCGTTGGTTTATTCGAGGACATATTCAAGGAACATCACAGTTCCTATACTCGGGACGAACCATAGAATATGATATTGAAAAATCCCCGTCTTACACTGGTACACGTAACCGGTTTCCTCTTCGATCCTCGTCTCTGGCCGAGGATGGATGCGCGCAGGAGGGTGGCAGGAACGGTAGCAGGTGCGCCACGTGAATTTATCGGCGAGAAGGAGCTCGACTTATGAGCACTGCTTGTGATTTGAATCGGCCGAGAAAGTTTTCCCTCTTCGGTCGGCCGGTGATCGATAATTTCCCTAAACTTCTCTACCCTACCTTCTTTCTCTCTCTCTCTCTCTCTCTCTTCTTTTCCCCTCTTTTTTCGTCGATCGAAAAATAATCCGTACAAACTAAACGCACGTATTTAGCATCCGTTCCTCCCAATCTCATTCGAGAATCAAGAAGGAATTGGTTTGCGCGATATATGCTGGCAACCTGGTGAGATGCACCAGGTTGTATCATAACCTGGGTATATATATTTCTTAGTCGAAGCAACGTTCTCGATATTGGCACGGTTATAAGAGGGAGAGGAAGGTAAAGGTGAGACGTTGGAAACATTCGAAATCAGTGCGTTCCCCGGGGACACCTCGTAAATCGTGCGCCCCGTTGTTGGCGCCTTTCCACGCGCCACCCCCTGCCTCTTTACCTCTCTGCATCTTGCCGCCTTCTCCTCTTCGTGCCCCGCATTCCGCCTATCTCTGTCGCTCCCGCACGAAAATCCGGGGAAATCCGAGAAAAATCGCGTTATCGTTAACCCGTGAAACAGAAGCCGTGTCGGGAAGGAGAGGAAAAGAGAGGGGTAGAATTTAGAACCAAGTTCGGGGGACCTTGCACGGCCACGCGAGTATCGCGAGTTTTATTTTATTTTTCTTCTCTCTCTCTCTCTCTCTCCTCCCGTCTATCGCCGTCTCTTTTCCGATGAATTTTTATATAGGGAAGTTCGAGATACGATTATTTTTGTGTTACGAGTTATTATCGTACAAATAAAAAAAGAAAAACGGATAGCGGCGTTGATAATTTTTTCTCGAATCCATCTTTCACGATGCCACGATTCCTCTCATCCGAAGCGAAAAGAGGCGAATAAAGTCGAAGTCTGCTCGTGATCGAAAAGATGCAGCTTTTTCCTCCGAGGCGGAAAATTTATTGTTTCAAGAGGGACGGGTGTATCTTTAAGACCCGATGAAGTTCTTTGCGAAAGGAAGAGGGATATTTTCAATTTTTTTTTCCCCCTCCTCCTCCGAGGTATTTTCCCTTTTTCCAACGATTTCGTTGAACGAGAGAGAATCCTGAACTTTCCGCGCTTCCGCGGAATTATTTTGACTTCGATGTCTCGTTGACTGCTCTCTGTCCGATAGAAAAGTTTCTCTCCATCAGGAGAAAGCTTTTCCTCCCAGCCTCGCGTCGTGTCGCGGATTACAATGCGTCACATTTTTTTCTTTTTTTTGTTCGTTCTCCTTCCTTCGTTTCGCCTTTCTCATCATCTTGATTCGTGCAGTTTTCAAGCGCAAGCGATCGCAATATTTGTACGAAATATAAGCACGTCGAACGAATAGTTGACGTAGAGAGAGAGAGAGAGAGAGAGAGAGAGAGAGAGAGAGAGAGAGAGAGAGAAGAA